TATAGTTTGGTGAAGTTAAAGCTAAACATTTACATAAATACACATTTAAACCCAACAAATCCAATAATAAATTCCTTTATTCTCCATTTAATCTGTCAGGTACCTTCTTGATTAGCTGATTAGTTGTTGGACCAATAAAACATCAGAAAATTGTAAAATATGTGGATCAGAGTTTCCAAAAAGCCCAACCTGATGGTCCAAAACCCAAAGAGTACAGAAACAAGAACGTTGAGGATGGTGCATTGAAGTTTTTCTCATTAATAGCTGACAACTAGTTAATTAGTCGCTGCAGCTCAAGTACATTAAGGACAATGTAGTAACAGATTGGAGGTTTGAAGGACGTCAGGTCTCCTCCGTCCACTCACCGGTCACTGGTACCGTCCTGTTGGCGATCTTCACCACGTTTCCCATCTCCATCCTGCACTCGAACATGAGCCCCGGAGCCTTGGCCAGAGCCACCATGCTGTGGTTGACCTTGTTGCTGCCGCTGCTGAGGAGCGACGTGCCTTCGCTCAGGTACAGCAGCATGCTGTCGGTGCTGCGCTGAGCGACTCTGACGGAGCAGAAGATGTTCAGATGGTCTCCCTCGAAGATCTGGTGCTGCGGGGAAATCTCCAACACCGGTGTGATGTTGAGCTCTGCGGAGACAAGACAGATGAAGCTCCGAGGTCTCTGCGGCGCTCTGAGGAAAGCTGCGAAACTTCAGGACTCACCTTTGACTGAAACGGCGGCGGAGCTGCTTTCCTCGGACTTGTAGGAGTCGGGCCGGACGAAGACTGTGTAGGTGCAGTGGATCCTGTGGATGCCGACGCTGCGGAAGTGAAGCACGGCCTCCGCCTGGTTGGAGTTCACCTGCTTGTCCTGGATCTCTTCGCCTTTGTCGTAGAAGTAGAAGAAAATGGAGCCGGTCTCGCCCGGCGCCGTGCACCTGGCCGTTAGCTCCTCCCCTTCAGTGACCACGCCCTTGTTGAGGTGGAGAACCGGCTTCGACAGGCCTGCAAACGCGACAATCAACACGAGAAATGTTGATCACGAAGGCAAGAAAAATGACCGTCGGCGAATTTGTGGGACTACGAACAGTCTCGTGTTGGCAGCAGATAGAATCATGAGGACATTAAGATTAAAATACAAACTGTTAAACTGTGGTTCTGTGAGAGCTTCAGCTGTTTGAATTGTTCTTGTTTGCTGGGGTGTTGGTTTGACCGAGACGCTATCTGAGGGTTTAGCTAGCAACGGAGCGCCGT